AAAAAATCCTTCATTTTATGGGAAGACTCCTCTTGATTCAAGAGAAAACTCCTGTTTTTAAAATAAATGGCTGCTTATTAATTAGTTGTTAATCAATCTATAAGATAAATCTACTTCAGATCAATTCATTATCAATAACTTGCATCCTTAAGGCGTTAACTTAATTTATATTTACTCATATTCATGTAATTAAGCGTTTTAATGATTTGGCCGATTAATCAAAAAAATAATCAACAGATTAATTGATTATTAAAATAATCGTTAGTTGCAGCCCTATTTGCATGGTTTCCTTGGCTCTTCTGCTACCATTAGCTAACCATCTGATCAACCTGGGGCAGCCTCTGTCAGTGTGCCCCAGGGCAGCTGTGACTACAGTGTAGTTTGCCATCATCAGTGTGTGAATGTGTGTGTGCATGGGTGAATGTCTGTAGTGTGAAGCGCTTTGAGTGTCCTGGATGGATAGAAAGGCGCTATAAAAGTACAGTCCATTTACCATTTATAGCATTTGTCTTGTGTCCATATCCTAAGTAGGTACTGTATCAATAGGTTCATGAACTTTATACACTTTGTTTCTCCAGGGGTGGAAGGTAACAAATAATGTTACATAAATAAGTATGAATTGTGTATTTTGTACTTTTTTGAGTGATTATTCCAAACAATACTTCTACTTTTACTCTAGGTTTTATTTAAGTATTTTACTTAAATCTGAAATCACACCCGTTACTGAGTAAGACAAAAATCTGAACTTAAATATTATTTAAATGAAATAACGTGACTCAAAATCAGGAGGGGAAATAAGTATGGTCCGGCACGGTTCTGTTAGCTGCAGCTCCTCTACCTGCACAGCCTCACCAGGGACCTCATGTATCAACAATGTGTTCGCACAAAAACCTTGGGTACACCCTTTTCCATGCAAAACTCTAGATGTATCATGTATTATTATTTATTATCTCTTTTCTAGGACCAACAAGTCTGTTCATACTCTTAGTATGCCTTAGTAAAATTAACAACCAGTCAGTTATTTCCACAACTTTGTTTACATGTTTGTATACTAAGAGTTATCCACCACACACACACACACATATATATATATATACACATACTGTATATACACATATACATATATATACACATACACAAATATATGCACATATATATAAATATATATATGTATATATATTTTTTTTTCCAAATGAAAGCTTACAAATATTCACTTTAATCTTTTATTATTTTTGATAAAGAGATAAAGTTTGAATGTAAATTTGGGCGAGGTGGGGAGTAGCATGAGATGATGCTTGAAAGTAACAAATGACCCAAAAAGTTTTCATGTCCTTGCTTAACCTTAGTTAAATATACCAGTACTTTATACCTTCTTTTAAAGACAGTCCAGTACATAAGGATCGTCTCATAAATAAATACCAGTATGTTTAAACTAAAAAAGGTTCCTCTTGTTTAATTTCAAATTCAAGCATAAAAATGAAAATGTTTTCCCAGACTTATTGGAACAAACAGTGAGTGGAACATGAAATTAAAGTAATGTGCAACCCTCACAGGACTTTAACGTGGGTTATTTAACATGTATGAACAGGTGAGTGTACTCAGTGTGGATTTGTCTAATCTCACAATATGCTTGGCTAGTGGGTCAGTGTGCAATCTGCTGAGACAACCAGTGTACACTGAGATTAATTCAAATTACCCTGCTTACAGCTTAGTGAGTTAAACCTGTGGTCAGCCCGTCTAAAACAAACTTTAACACAAGCATGGGCACGTGGCAAAGCAGCTACTAAGTTGTTGTCTGGCAGCAGGCTTAATGTGTTCACCACCAAAATTAAGATTAAAAAAGCTGTCGCTACTTGTGTTTCCACCAAGTATATCTACTTCCTAAAATAAGTTGACAAGCTCACATACAGGACTTTTCTGTACAATATGACCAGACATCTCCTTATATTTTACTTATTTAACCAGGTAAATATCACTGACATCACAGATGTCTTCTGCAGCGAGGCCTGGGACTGAAGGAAAACTACTCTATCCTGACTCCTCTCCACAGTCTCTGATGATCCTGAGTTACTTCCTGGGTTTTGGGCACTGTAAATATTAATTCACTCCCTGAGTCTCTTATCTGAACCACTTACCTTCAACATCTGAGTTTACACTAACAGGTAGTAACTGCTGAGCATCATACCACATTTAACACATTCTTCAAGCATTACACGTTGTGCAATATTTTTACCTAACATTCTGGCATTAACTATTTCCTTTGAGTATGTCTGTTAGTCTAATACCTTTGGGAACTATTTGAATGATTTTGGTGAAACTTAAACATAATCATTTACTGTACATCTAGTAAGTAAGTAAGTCGGTCGGTCGGTCGGTAAGTAAGTAGGTAAAGTTTGATTTATAAAGCGCCTTTCACAGAAATATATTCACAAGGTGCTGTACAATCATTAACAGTATAAAAATGGTGGAAAGAATAAAATGAAACAGAAAAACAATTAAACATAAGCAACGAAAATAGAAACATCAAATCAAGAAAAAATTTCTACAAATTATAAATCAAACACAAGGTCAATGCAGGTGAAAATATACAGTAATACACAAAAACATAATGAATGTGGGAGAGAAAATATGGTGTAAGTTCTATAATTAAAAACACAGATTGTCAAGCATTCACTATGGAGATAGGCTGGTAGTAATGGTGAAATGGTTAGCTAAACGCTTGAGTGAAAAAGTGACTTTTTAGGAGTGACTTGAAAGAGACAATGGGCCTCATGCAAGAACATGTTCGTATTCTTATCCTAAATTTCTCTTACTTTTGTTCGTACAAAGGGTTCGTACGAACA